GCCAGCCACAACCCTCGAGCCCCCGAGTGCTGGGAGGACAGTCCGCAGCCTAGCCCCAAACCGGTGAGCCCGGCGAGGCTTTCCGGGCTGGTACAACCGAGTCCGTGGTGGTCCAGCCAGAGCTGAAGCATCCTGACGTCTCGGCAGCGTGATAGCCGGGCTGGCAGCCATTAACGTCCCCAAAGCGCGTCCTGGGCAAACCCTGGACCCTGCCTGGGTCTAGGGGGAAGAGGCAGAGGGTCCAGCGCTTGGTGACCCCATCATGCATCACTTCTGGAGCAGAGACCTCCCCGCAGGTCTTTCGAGATGGTGTTTTGTGTTGTTTAAAGCAGAAACCACGGATGTAACCCCCAGAGTGGGCAGCAGCCTCCCCTTACGGGGACCTGGACACGTTGTCACTGCTGCAGCTGAGCCAGTGCAGGGAGGCCCTGGCACACTTCCCCGGCCGGCGGGGATGGAGCGGGGCAGGATGAGACCCTGGCAGCTCAGGGAGGGGTGCTTGCTCCCGGCTTTCATGCCCGTGATGAGCAGAGCCCTGTGGCAAATGGGAGCCGGTCCGACACGAAGCAGGACTTACTGTGCTTTCATCTTCCCACGTGGGAAGTTCTCCATGGTTTATCATATCAAGATGGTCATCTTGGGGATTAGGATTTGAGTTTGGAAATTGAACACGGTGACCTTTTTCTGCCAGAATTACCTGCAAGTCTCCTTTGATCTCAGCTCAAGGGTGCTCAGGTCCCGCTGCAGAGCTGAGGTCGGTCTTCGAGGTCTCAAAGCTGGAGAGGAGAAGCTGAGGGAAGGTCTTTGGGGTCTTGAAGCTTAAGCAGAAGGTGCCTTCTGAACTGGTGCCAACCTCTGGTGGCCTCAGCAGCTCTGTCTTGCTTCATACCCGTGACCTGCCTGCCTGTCGGAGTCAAATCAGCCCTTGGGCTTTGCCCACTGGTGATGGGGAGCCGATGGAGGGTCCCACCACCCAGAGCCCTTCTGCTGCGCTGGCTTTGGGCAGCGGCTCCCGGGGCTGCCGACAGCCGCGGGCCGGCCGACAGCCGCCGACTCCTTTCAGTGTGCCGGGAGGCAGGCAGGGAGCCCAGGAAGGACACGTCTCCAAAACATGGCAAAAATGTACAGTTAGATGGGCTGGATTGGGCAAAGATGGGCAGCGGCTGTAAATCCATCGCTCGGTGTCTCCATGATGCCAAGCAGGTCACGAAGGCCGGTTAGGAGCCAAGCACTCGAACCCCGCAGGCTTTTGGTGCCGACCAGGTGTCCAAACCCCACCGGTGACTTTGCAGATGACATCCACGCTCTCCAAGTGGTACAGAACAGGAGCTGATGGTGCAAAGGTTACGTTATAATCCAGCCAGACTGTTGGAGGGCTATGGTCTTTTGGCCTGGGCACCCTACATGCCACAGTGGGTGACATCCTCTGGAAAGATGGAGGTGGGAGAGGCTGGGTCATGCGGGGGGGGACCCGGCCCTGGGACTGGTGTTTGGTGGTGCAGGGTTGGGTGCAGGCTGGAGTCCGTCCCGCACCGGGTTCTGCAGGTCGGTGTTTAACCCCTCCTTTTCTCTTTTCCAGCTTCCCATTACTACAAGTACAAGCAGCAGTTCATTTTCCCAGGTCAGTCTCTTCGAAACTCTCTGCTGTAAGGTGGGGTGCTGAGATATCCCTTGGGGGGGGTGTGCATGGCCGGCTCTCCTGGATTTGTGCAGGGGGGTTGTGCTGGGGTGGGATTTCTCCCCAAAACCAGCATATTGTCGCAGGACCGTGCACCACTAAGGTGCTGGGTGGCCCTAAGGTAAACCCAGCCACAGCTAAGGGAGTAACTAAACCGGACCTGGGGGTGAAGGGAGGTGTTCTCTGGGGTTTAGATCCCCTGGGTGCCCCCGACACTGGGAGGGGGTCCTGGTGCCTCCCACCCCGCTCTCACTCCGCTCTCTTCTCCCCAGACGTGGTACCCGAGACGCCCACCCGAGCCCCACAAGTGGTCCTCCACCCCGTCAACTCCAACCCCATGTGAGTGTCTCCCCCTCCTCCCGGCTAGCTTCACCTTCCCCTCCCCAGGCAGCGCATCCTCCGCACCCAGCCTCCTCCGGGCACCCCTGGGTCCTCCCCTGGCTTTGCAGGACCGGTTTGGGGCTCAGGGATGCCTTTTGGGCAGGTGGGGGGGCATGGCGGTGGGGAGCCCCCGGTGCCGCTGCCGCCCTCACGCAGCTCAGGGCTCTGGCTCGTGTCTCGGGGAGGGGAAGGGTTGGAAGGAGACGGCAGGGGATTGATTTATAACCCACAGCAACACACCCGACAGGAAAAAATGACTTTCAGCCCGAGAAGTCAAAGCCCAAGCGATCAATCTTTTACTAAACTGTAAGCGGAGAGCCAGGGTCTTTGGGAGATTTGCGGTGTTTCTTGCCCGCCCCCCCTGCCGTGTTTTCGAGTCCAACGAACTTTGCACCGAAATGAGTTTCGAAGTGCAGTACCCCGTTGGCGTCAGGACCAGCTCTCCCCGGCAGGCCAAGTCCCAGCTACTCGGCCGAATCCGGCATTCGCCGAGGTCGCCGTGCCCGCGCCACCGCGGCAGCGCCGTTACATCCCAGGGTTGCTTGCCGACCCTTTTTGTAAATGCCGTTTCTGAAGGATTTTACAAGCCAGGAGCGTAACAGACAGGGTCTCGCTCCGGGCTGCCGTGTCGTTTGTGTCCGGCTCAGCCACGATCCCC